TCCAGAATCTATAAGGAACTCAAACAAATTTACAAGCAAAAAACAACCCCACAAACAAAAAGCCCACAGAGTGGGCAAAGAACATGAATAAACACTTTTCAAAAGAAGACATAAATGCAGTCAACAAGCATGTGAAAAAAGGCTCAACATCACTAATCATTAGAGAAATGCAATTCAAAACCACAGTGAGATACCATCTCACCCAGTCAGAATGGCTATGATTAAAAAGTCAAAAAATAACAGATGCTGACGAGGTTGTAAAGAAAACGGAATGCTTATATACTGCCGGTGGGAATGTAAATTAGTTGAGCCATATGGAAAGCAGTTTGGCAATTTCTCAAAGAACTTAAAACAAAATTACCACTTGACCCAGCAAATCCTGTTATTACTTATATACCTGAAAGATGTAAATTGTTCTACCATAAAGACACAAGCATGCATATGTTCATTGCAGCACTATTCACAATAGCAAAGACATGGAATCAACCTAAATGCCCAGCAATCGTAGAACAGATAAGGAAAATATGGTACATATATACCATAGAATACTATGTAACCATAAAAAGAACAATATCATGTCTTTTACAGTATAATATCGATGGAGCTGGAGGCCTTTAGCCTACGCAAACTAACACAAGAACAGAAAATCAATACAGCATGTTCTCACTTATAAGTGGGAGCTAAACACTGAGTACATATAGACACAAAAAAGGGAACAACAGACACTGGGGCTCCTTGAAGGTAGAGAGTGGGAGGAGGGTAAGAATAAAAAACTACCTATTTGGTACTATGCTTGATGACAAAATAATCTGCACACCAAACCCCTGTGACATACAATTTACCTATATAACAAACCTGCACATGTACCCCTGAACCTAAAATAAAAGTGAAAAAAAATAATATAAATTTTGGAGTCAGAAACCAAGTTTGAATCTCTGCTGTCTCACTTACTAGCTGCATGACTTAGGCCAATTATGTAAACATTCTAAATTTTAGGGTTTTTTAAATTTTAAAATGTGGATAAAAGCTGTTGTGAAGATTAAAAGCAATGATATGGGAAAAAGATCTGGTAGGATAGGGAAAGTAGGGATTTTGAAGTCTATACCATAATACTTCACTTCAAACCCAACATCACTCATGTTAGCTATGAGATCTTCAGCCAGATACCTAACATCTTGAGTTTTAATACCTCATATATAAAACAGCTGATTAGATAGAAAGACACAGACAGGTAGGTACGTAGATAGCTAGATATATACATAGATAGATAAATAGATAAATAGCTACAGAAAGAGAAAGAGATAGGTAGATAGATCATCTTCCTCTTTACCTCAAAACCTCTTCTTTAGGAATCCCTTTCTCAATTGCTGGCAACTCCATCCATCCACTGAGCTATTGAGATCAAACAACTTGGGATAATTTTTCACTCTTTCCCATGACTCATGATCAATCTGAGAGTTAATTCTATTAGTTCTGTCTTCAACATCTATTCAGATTCTTTCACATACACTATTTCCTCTTCTATTATCATGGTCTGAGACACCTGTCTTGTTACCATAATTTCCTAACTGATTTTCTTGTTTCCCTCTTTACTTTCCCACCCACCATTTTTATCCTGGCAGCAAAAATAACCCTTTCAACCTTAAATCAAATCAAATGCCTCAATGGCTTCCCATCTCAGTCAGAGTAAAAGCTGATCTTTACAATGACTTAACAGGTCCCTCCAAAGCTCTCCCAACACTGCCACTCAGCTGTCCAGCCACCCCCGTGATTTCTTATCCTACACTTTAACCCGCACTGCTCCACTCCAGGCCAACTGCCTGTGTCAACCCGGGAACTCCTGAATTTCTCTCTCACCTCAGAGACTTTACACTTCCTATTTCTCCCACCTGGAATATTCTTCATCCAAATAGCTTCAAGACTCTCAGTCTCACCTCCTTTAAGTTTTTGCTCAAGTTTCATCTTCACAGCGAGGCCTTCCCTGTCCACTCCATTTGAAAATCCAATAGCCCACTCCATCCAGCACTCTCTATTCCCTTACTCTAACTTATTTTTCTCTATAGCATTGATCACCATCTAACACTATTATATTGTACTTATTTACTTTTTTGTTTTTGTCTGTTTCCTCATTACATGTGCGTACACACACACACACACACACACACACACACTAGTGGAAACTCTGAGAGCAAGTATTTTGGGCAGTTTTGTTCATTTTTGTATCCCAACAACCTAAAATAGTATCATGAACTTAGTATTATCTCTCTCATCCTTCTTTTTGTTCCTCTCTCCTCCCTTCCCCTCCTCTCCATTCCCTTTCCCTCCCCGCTCCTTTCTTTCTCTAAAATATATATGTGTACATATCATGGCAAAATTTCTTTGTTCATGGAACCCTAGAGGAAGTGGTATACAAAGCAAATCTTAGTTTCCTTAGCTTGTTAGAAACAAGCCCTTTCATTGGGAAAGAATGTACGATTTATGGTACATTTAACATGTATGTACTAGAACCTACTGTGCACCAGGTACTATTTTATTTAGGATAAATAAGAAGTAATCTCTGTCCTCAATGCACTGTCTAGTTTAAGAAAGAAACAAGTAGATACATAAGAAATAATAGAAAGGTGCTCAGAAAAACAATATTTTACTTAGTGAGAAGGCAATTGTGAGAGGTTTAAAAATAGGTCTGATGTGGTGGAGACAAATCTGGCAATAACAATCAATTACAGAGAAGACTAATGGCACAGTGTGAGTTTGGTGCAGAAGTTTCCTTATTTGATCAACCTAGGGGGTTGCTCAAAATGATCCAAGTGTTCCTTTGACAATGAGTCATCCATAATTTCATGATTGCTTTTGCTGTGTTTGTGGTTATGAAATGATCCTCATACCACCATTCCTAATATTAGAAAATTCCGTTCTAACCAGTACAAATTGTCAGGCAAGAGAGTAGGTGTTTATAGTATGGGTTAATTTGTTCTCCAGCAGGCCTGAGTTCCAGTGAACTCAGCATTTGCTGAATAAGAAACACATACTAGAACCTTCCTTAATTTGCTGAATGGGAATAAACAAGAGGTGCTTGGGGGCACATTCAGGGGAGCTCAAAGAGCTAGAAAGGAGCAATGGGGAGGGTGAATAGTAATAGCTAAAGTGTTCTTGTATTCTGAAAATGAAATTGCCCTTCTGAGTATACATTTAGCAAACTGGCAGATTCATAACTCCAAGGTTCAGAGGGCTAAACATGCCAATAGCAACAGCAAAAAGAAGACTTAAGGACATTCCTTTAATTTCCAAACCTTTCATTAGTGAAAACTTTTGGAGCTGTGTTTCATGCCCTAGAAGTCTAACTCCATGTAAGGTTGAGGGTGGAAACTTTGAACAAAGGGAACATCTAGGGGGACACACACACATACACACACACACACACACACACAATCTTTAATGGAGTTCTTTGGGAAATAGCAGGAATAGCTGGTGGCTGTATGGTGCCTGGTTATTCCACCTGCATTATCCCATCTAACACTCATGGCCTCCCTGAGAGGTATGTACTGTTCATTTTCCTCATTTGATGAAATAAAAAACTGAGACTCAGAGAGATGAAGTGACATTCCCAAGAGGCAGAGCCAGGACTTGAATCCTAGTCTTCTTACTCCAGACAAGTGACAATTCTACTCTTGTCTTTTCCTACTTGCTGTGCTGAAATCCTGAAAAACAGAGTTTGTACAGCTCTAGTCTATAGTAGTGTTTCTCATCCTTAGTTCCACACTGAAATCACCAGGAGATACTTAAAAACCCTCTGATGCCTGGGTCCCAGCACTAGAGATTCTAACTTAATTTCTCTGGAATACAATCTGGGAAATGGGTTTTGTTTTTGTTTTTGAAAAAGGGTCTCACTCTGTCGCCCAGGCTGAAGTGCAGCAGCATGATCACAGCGCACTGCAGCCTCAACCTCCTGGGCTCAAGTGATTCTCCAATGGGATTTTCTAAAGCCCCTCCCTGCCAGGTAATTCTAATGTTTAATCAAAATTCAGAACAACTATGAAGAAATTATTTTAAATGACAGATTCCCTGAGCCCCATCCTAGGTTTATTGAATTAGAGCCCCAGAGGCAAGTTGGCATAATTGTGTTATTTTATAATCCTCCCATGCCATTCTAGTAAGCAGCCAAGTTTGGGAACCACTGGTCTACTCTATGACCTTCAGAGCTGCTCAAGGTGGGTAATTACTGAAGAACCAGTTATTAGTCCGACTTCTGTCCCTGTCCATGTTATCATGGGGAACTGATTTATCGTCACAGCATCTGTGTTTCTTAATCTTAAAATGAGGCGATTGGTATTTGTCCTGTCAATCTCTTTGGAATGCTCAAGAGAAAAGGGACAAATATGAAAGTGTTTTAAAAGGTATTTTAACTTGTAAGGTACACAGTTGTAAGGTATTATTATTATTATTATTATTATTGAACTGGTGTTCCCGATTTTTATCTCTAAAATTAACTCCTGAATAGACCATGTCCATAGGAGAAGGGTTCTAGTCTTGGCTTCTGATTCACATTTTATCCTCTTTATAACTCACAAGAAGGTAGTCTATTGGCTAAGAAGAAAAGTAGCTGCAGATGCTCTTTCCCATCAGAGGAAAAAATACACAGAGGAAGCTTGCCCCAGTGAGGGGAAATGGAAAGAGATGAAAATTGTATAACTTCAACCACAAGCATTTGTTGTCAAAGACACAAATTCAACCAAAGGACTGAAACATTAGCCAATATGCTTTCCCAGCATTCAAATTCAATTCAGAAATAAGACTTCCCATTACTAATATCATCCCATCCCATCGGGAGCATGCAGCTTCTTCATCTGGGTTTTCTGTGTCTAAATCTATAATGGAAATATTAGGAGTGACTTGGGAGTGGGGAGAAGCTACACAAAGAAATAGAGTACATTGCACAGATGCTTTCTCGGTTTAGATCCAACTCCTGACTTCTAATAGGTCACTACTGTTCAAATTTTTAGGAGGAAGACACAAAAGGACTGATGATCATCTAGAAGGTTTAACCCTTTCAAGCCTGAAGACTTTGAGAGACACTAATCTTGGGGTCCACTCCCAGACATTCTGACTTAAATGTCCTCAGGTGACATCATGTGATTTTTAAAAACCTTCCATGGAGATTCTAATGGTTCATCAGTGCTGAGATTACAAGGAGAGAAGGATGACAGAATAAAAAGAGCCATGTCTTTATCCCCAGGCCTTTACCTTCCCCCAGGGGTTCTTCTGTGGTCTAACCGCCAATCCACCACCATTATAACCTCAATGGAGTATCTATCCTTCTGTAAAGCTCCTGACCAACTGTCTCAGGAATGGGAGTGACTCTGCCATAGTTTTTTAAAAGACTTGATTAAATTCTGAGGGAAAAGCAAGTTAAAATGACCAAGAAAATATAAGAAATTGCTATGGTTATAAATACAGATTTTTGGCCAAAGTTTATGTCACATACAGCACTTGCTAGCAGCCTATTCTCAAGAAAAATCCTGATGAAAACAATTATCCACTATGCCACCATTACCATGAGGGTGTTTCTAGCATGTAAACAGGTTATTTCAGCACACACATACACATTCACATACAAACAACGCTGGGTTATGTAAATATAGGTATGAGACAAGGTTTTCCTCAAATTATCCCTCAGAAAAGAAAGAATTGTCATATATTCCAGTTTTTATACCAGCTCCTGTATTACTGGGCTCTCTTATAATTGCTTTATCAACAATGTATTATTTAGGGTGAATATATTAACCAAATAAATGCTATTTTTGATGTCAAATTAGAAGAGGTTACCTGACAAAAAGCATTAAATGGAAGGCAAGTAAATTTAACCAAAATTCACAATTATTTCTGCATTACAACCTCACAATTTTACTTGCTTTTTTTTTAAAAAAAAAAAAGAAAACACCTTTTAAAGATCATTTATTCTAACAATTATAAAAATATACTAGGATGAATTTTTTAATTCAGATATTATACAAATGGATACTAAAAACTAGAAATAAAATCTGCTGTGGCAAATCATACACATGTAAAAACTGCTGTGTCTCAAACCAGTGAGCCAATAAGTGCTCCAGAAAATTATATGGCTCCAAAGGTGGTGCTAATAAAGAGGAAAACACTGATGTCTTTCTCATACTATTTGAGTGGAAAAAAGACACAAAATTTGAGTTAAAAGCCATATTTCTCAACATATTTTTCTATAATATGAAATAATGAATACCTACGTATATCTAAATTTATATATTACATATTATCTTTTTTAATTTAATGGAGAAAATGGAGGAATCATTTATGATTAGGCATAAACAGAAGAAGGGTTGATTCTCACAGTATTTTTCAGAGCCTTAAATATACTTACATGCACTGTTGTTCCCTGAAGTGGGGGATATATATGGTATATCTCTCATTCTTATTTGATCCATGTGAGACAAGAATCCTACAGAACATATATTGGGAAATACTGCTCTTACCCAGAATGACCCAGTCAACCTCGAAAATGCCTCTCACAGTTTCCTTTCCTTTGACATCCAAGCAGAATGCCTCCTTGTGTGGGTGACATCCTACAGTCCACCACACTGAAACCCAAAAATCACACACTGAGCAATGGGAGGTCAAGTAGCACCTGCCACATGCCAGGCACACGACAATGAGTAATAATATGAATTGTAATTACAATGAATTGAGCATCCCTGGGGCTGTGATACTGATAACAAAATGAGTAATAATAACTGCCAATGATACTAATGAACACATGTGGAGTACATACTATGTGGGAGGCTCCTTACTAATTTCTTAACATTTAATTTTCCCTACAGTGATCCCCACAAGATTGGTAGTCGTAACCATTTCATAACTAAACTGATAGTCACAGTCAAAATAACTTGCCCAAATCACATAACTAGTAAGTGATCAATAGCAATTACTTAACCACCTATGACGCTGCATTTCTTAATCTTTAATTCCTCATAATTTACTCTCAAATTGTTTAGGAGCAAAAGTAGTCTACCTTCATACTGCAGAGTTATACTTTGAACTCAAAATGATTGGCTTTTATACAGTAGCTCCAGCTGGTGGCAGACAGAAGGAAATAAAATGCATTAGTAAAAGGCCTGCCTGATATTAACCCAGAACTTCAAAAGAAGTCCAACAATTGACTAGAAATGTTTTGTTTTCGTATTTTTTAAAAGATACTTGTTCTATTGTATTTGATAACTCTTCAGTGAAGAAAATCCAGGTAATTGTTCCTTCAACAAGGAATTATTGATAACGTGGAAAAAGCCAGACCAATTTAGGTTTGAATCTGGGCCCCCACATGACTCTAAACACGATTCTTAGCTACTTCTCATCTACACAATTGGGGAAATTATAACTTCCTTGTAGAATTTTTATGAGATGTAAAATATATAATGTCATTTGTAAAGAATTCGTCCAAAGAATGATAGTTTTCTCTCCCTTTGAAAGAACAATTGAAAAGACTCCATTTGCTTTTCTCCCCTTTCGCTTATTGGTGCTCATATTATTTGCAAGTTTCCTTTAGGGGGTGATCACCCTGTGCTCAGAGTGGTATTTTATTTTTAAGTGGTTTAGATTTGGCTGAAAAAGGTAACCCTAACTATAGAAGGCTTCAAATCCCATCCGGGAGTCTCCTTGGGCAAAGGCCATACAACCTTCCCACCAGCAGAGAGGCATTTATGTACACTGATGGAGCTTTGGTGATGAAAGCTGCAGACCAGAAGATGGTCTCTGTATTTCCTCAGCACACTTTCCTCATTGTACACGGTTTTAGTTCCCCAGCCACCAGGAACTCATTCCCCCCTCCTTCTCCCCCAGAGAATCCTTTTATATAAAAGACAAGTATAAGTACTATTTGTATTCTGTCTTTTAAAACCACAGAATGCTGGTCTGGCATGGTGGCTCACGCCTGTAATCCCAGCACTCTGGGAGGCCTAGGAGAGTAGATCACTTGAAGTCAAGAGTTCGAGACCAACCTGGCCAACATGGTGAAACCCCGTTTCTACTAAAAAAATACAAAAATTAGCCTGGTATGGTGGCCCGCACCTGTACTCCCAGATACTTGGGAGGCTGAGGCAGGAGAATCGCTTGAACTCAAGAGACAGAGGCTGCATTGAGCTGAGATCATGCCACTACACTCCAGCCTGGGTGACAGAGACAGACTGTCTCAAGAGAATTAAAAAAAAACAAACAACAACAAAAACTCCACAGAACGCATATTGAGGTATGTAATGTAAATTGTAATTAAGAAAAGTGTTAAATCAGCTTAAAATTATGTATACAGTAGCACTAATATATTATTTTATCTTTCCATTTGAATTATGAATAAATTATTTTAGCATTTTTGCAGATTTGCACTTAACTTTTCAAATATAACTAAATCTTTATACTTTGCAGATGAAGGGGATACTTTCTTTTTTAAATCAAAAACAGTGGAATCTGTCAAGGTAGGGGGAAGTAACTACAATTTTGGAAAGATAAAATGTTTCAAAAATGTAAATGCCATAGACCAGAACACATAGTGAATTAGGTTTTTCATAGGGATATACCACAGGTGTCTTTAAACTCTGATAATGTAACTTGCTCACTTTAGTTTACTTGTGAAAAAAATGTAGATAATATCATATAATATAGAGTTGCTATGAGGATTATATAAAATGATATGTGTAAAGAGCCTGGCAGGAGACCCAGCATGTAGTGAACATTCAATTAATATTAGTTCCTTTTACTTTTTCCTATGTAAAGATGGGCTTCGCTTAACACATTCTGATTCTGCAAAAGTGGCTTAAATATTCTTTGGAGACAAAGATCGCAGCTTTTTGCAGACAGCTTAAAACCCTCAAATACCCAGAGTGAACACCAACCAAAAATAAAATAAGTTAAAGTCAGTGTGAAAATTGTAAACATAGATTTAAATTATTTTCTTTACAAAGCCTGCAGAAAATATGTTACATGTGGTAATGAAAAAGAAGGTGAAAAGCTGTCGCAACTCAGACAACAATTCTGTGGAGTCTCTATCCCTCAATGTGTCCATCTTCCTTACAGGTATAAAAATAATGAAAACAAAGAATATAGTAAAGGGCTCAGAGCTCTTCCTCTCAACGCTCATTATTCTGACATGAAAGCAGCTATTTGTAAAGTAATGCCTAGAATTCCTGTTGGTTTATAATAAGAATGAATAACATTCTGTTATCCTCCTTTTATTGAAAATCAAGGGGAAATCAAATTTTAAGCAGCAGCTATGAGGATGGAAATGCTTAATCTCCAAAGGATTTATAATTATTGCCTCTTATTTCACAGTACTGGGAGCTGAAGGCAACCTATATCCAAATGAAAAGAAGACAAACAGCATACATAAAAATTGGATGAACTACCCAACAAGAAAATGTTCTTACATTGATTCATTTCCAATCATTTTCTTGAGGCTTTGAAATGGTCCTCAACTTACCAGAAACAGCAAGCCTTCCACATTTGAAACACAACAAGGTAATCTAGACTATGTAGCTAGCTAATGAAGAACAGTAAGTAAATGACACTGACAATAGCCTACATTTGTAGAAATAAAGCACTTTCCTATCCATTATCTCATTTGATCCTCAATAGCTGTGTGACATTGGTAAGGCAGGTGTTTCTTATTATCTCCATTTTACTCCTGAGGAAACTGAGGCTCAGCAGGTTATACAGGAGATAGTAAAGCTAGGAAGTAGGAATGAGAAAAGGATGGGAAAGGGGAAATGTTGACTCAATGGGAAGGAAAAGATGGGCAACAATGATTTTGGAATGCCAAGAGTTCTCCATGGGGATGGGGCAGTATATAATAAATGCAATTTTCTGGTCGGGCGCCATGGCTCACACCTGTAATCCCAGCACTTTGGGAGGCCGAGGCAGTAGGATCACTTGAGGTCAGGAATTCCAGACCAGCCTGGCCAACGTGGTGAAAACCCGTCTTTACTAAAAATACAAAAAAATTAGCCAGGCGTGGTGGCAGGCGCCTGTAGTCCCAGCTACTTGGGAGACTGAGGCAGACGAATTGCTTGAACCCAGGAGGCAGAGGTTGCAGTGAGCTGAGATCATGCCACTGCACTACAGCCTGGGCAACAGAGCGAGACTCCGTCTCCAAAAATAAATAAATAAATAAATGCAATTTTTTTAGCAGAGTAGGAGTAGATAAGACACCAGTG